GAGCGGCAGCTTCTGGAGCGGAGGGGGCGCTTTGGGTCCTTCGGTGACGCATGTTTAGGGGATTTAGGTGGATTTTAGGGTTTAGTTTAGGAGATTTAGGGTGTAGGGTTTAGGGTTGAAGATTTCGAAGAGCTTGAGGTGAGCAGCTCAATCCTTCATGATCAGTAGCGTTGTTCGCACCGTTCGGCGATGTCTTGCCCAGCAGGCAGCGAAAGTAAATAACAACTCGGGGCGGGTATGATTAAGCACCATGGCAGGGATGTTAAGGACGACGACGACTGTTTGTCACTAAGCATGACTTACCGGTTCCACCGCCAGCACTGCCACCAGCAGCGCCACCACGACCACGACCAGCACCACTTGTTTGAACTAACCTGTGCTAGTAAGTCAGGATGGAGTTGATCCTCTTGGGCGACGTGGTTTGGGCATTCGGAGAACTCTCATCGGCTCGCGAGGTGGAAAACGTAGCTGCCAGCCAATAGGGCGCCGGTGAAGAGGCTCGTCATGTCATCATGCGCGCGGCATGCCGCGCTTCTGTCCTTGGCCTTGGCAATGGTCTGCCAAAGCTACAGATTCGTGGAGCTGCAAGAGATCCCCTCACAAGGTGCGGCCCGTTCGGCAGCCTTCTCCATGAACGGCATTCAGCACCTTGCAGTAGCCAATATGCGCGATCACAGTTCCTACAACATTGACTCCAAGATCTACAAATGGAACGATGCCAGTAGCACCTTTTTGGAGATGCAACGCATTCCCACCAACGGCGCTCACGGTTGGACCGCCTTCTCCATGAATGGCATTCAGCACCTGGTGGTGGCCAATCACTTCGATGACAGCTCTCGCAATGTTGACTCTAAGGTTTACAAGTGGGACGATGCCAGTAGCACCTTCTTGGAAATGCAGAGCATTCCCACCGAAGGCGCTTACGATTGGGCAGCTTTCTCTATGGATGGCATTCAGCACCTGGTGGTAGCCAACAATGGGAATGGCAGCACTCACAATGTTGACTCTAAGGTTTACAAGTGGGACGATGCCAGCAGCACCTTCTTGGAGATGCAGAGCTTTCCCACCAAAGGCGCTTACGATTGGGCAGCCTTCTCCATTGATGGCATTCAGCACCTTGCGGTGGCTAATTGGTTCGACGACACTTCCCACAACATTGACTCCAAGATCTACAGATGGAACGATGCCAGCAGCACGTTTTTGGAGATGCAGACCATTCCCACCAAAGGCGCAGTCGGATTGACAGCCTTCTCCATGAATGGCATTCCACACCTCGCAGTGGCCAATCACTTCGATGGCGGTTCCTACAACATTGAGTCCAAGGTCTACCAATGGCACCATGTGGCGCACACCTTTTTGGAGATCCAGAGCATTCCCACAGTTGGCGCGTTCGATTTCACAGCCTTCTCTATGGATGGCACTCAACACCTTGCCGTGGCCAATCTTTTCGATGGCAGCTCTCACAATGTTGACTCTAAGGTTTACAAGTGGGACGATCACAAGTTCTTGGAGATACAGAGCATTCCCACCAAAGGCGCTCGCAATTGGGCAGCCTTCTCCATGAATGGTATTGAGCACCTCGCGGTGGCCAATCACTTGGAAAACCCTGTTTGGTCTTACACGACCTATTCCAAGGTCTACGTATGGGCGACCAGCACCACCACCACTTCCACGATCACTAGCACAGCCACCATGACCACCGCCACGGCCACCATGACCACCTCCACCGCGAGCAGCAGCATCACCGCCACCTCCACCACTACGGGCACTACCACCACCACGAGCACTACCACCACACGTACCGAGGCTCTCTCTGTCCTGGCAGCGACTGAATTTGCCTTTGAGGATGTAAGGTCCTGGTCATTGGCCGCCCTGGGCGGCTACCTGGTTGCTTTGTCGGTGCCCATCTTCATGGCCAAGATGTGCCAGCAAGCCGGTTCGCCACGCCGGCAGTCCATCGAAGAACCTCAGACAGTCGGAAGTTCCGTTGAAGAAGGTCCACCCCTAGCTCAAGGGCAAGCTTCTGCGCAGAAGTTCCTACCAAGGCTCGGACTTCCCGAAACATTTTCCGGGGCACGCCAGATCATCAAAAAGTCTAAGTACGTCCTGGCAGTGAAGATGCTTCTGGAGTCCGGGAACCTGCTTTCATCGCCCCCTGGCTTGCAAAAAGGGCAAATGTTGCACAGCGTGAAAACAGCTGACAGGAGTGTTAGTGCTTAAAATGTAGAGACGCTGTTCCTGCATGCTTTCGGTAGTTTATTGTGGGCCGGCATGATTGAATCCAGCCGAGAATGCTCTATGCGATGGAAGCTCATCAGCACGCAACTCTGGTCGGCTTCTCAGCGCAGTGTGGAACAGGCACACTGACCCCTGACAACGCGAACCCCGGCCCCAACCCTGCAACTCTCAAACCTGCAGTGACCGTCAAGGCCCGTAACCCCAAACCTGACAGACCCTGAACCTTATAAACCCTCAGCCGTGTGGTGCAGGCACCTTGATGCCCTTGAAGAGGTCGGAGTGTAAGTCCAGGGCCGAGACAGGAGAGCTTCCAGCTTGTCATGCCTCTCTGGGCGCGAACGCCCTGTGCGAAGCAGATACAGAGGCGAGGGAATACAAGTTCGAACGATATCATGTTGAAGCGAGATTCAACACGGATGAGGAAGATGCGCGTACATTAATCAGACTAAAAATCATGCAGAGTGTCGTTTGAATCTTATGTTGTGCAAGGCGGACGAGGGCGGCTGCGTCGTGCCGAATGAGTTGGACAACTGTGCCGATTTCGATGTGTACAAGATGGAGCCGCTGGCCTGTGGAGCGATCGGATGCAAAGCCCTCAGCCACATTCTCTGGATAGCTGCTCTGGTGTCGTTCGGTGCAACCATTGCATGGAACGCCGGCTTCTACGCTAGTAGCCTTCGAAAACGACAGCCAGACAAGTGGCAGCGGCTGTGGATCAGTTTCACAGCGCTGTTTGCCTTCCTCGCCTCCTTGCTGGTGACCACCACCCTCGTTGGATTTGCTGGTGGCAGTGCGGCAGTCTTGGCCATGGCCTTGCTGTGCCCTCTGCTGCCGGTGTGTGCCTGGGTGCTGGCCGCATGGCTGGCTTCCTTGCCGGAAAAAGGCGAAGAGGCCAGGCGAAAGCACCGTTGCAACTAGACTACATGGCTTCCAGGTCCTAAACCCTAAACCTTATGACCCTGAACCCTAAACCTTATAACCCTAAACCGTAGTGAGGGCCTTCTGATGTTTTAGGGCCTTGTCCCGGTGTCCCATACGCAGGCGATCGTGAACCAAGCGGCAGCTCTGGAGCTTCCAATATTCAATGTGTTCGTCGCTCTGAATTTGAGGCCAATAATTATATGTTAAACAAACACATAAATAATAAATAAATAAATAAATATATATATATATGTATGTATGTGTGTATGTATGCATGCATGTATCCATGTACGTACGTACCTACGTACGTACGTACGTACGTACGTATGTATGTTTGTTTGTATGTTTGTATGTTTGTATGTTTGTATGTTTGTATGTTTGTATGTATGTATGTATGTATGTATGTATGTATGCATGTATGCATGTATGTAGGCACATGTTGGTTAAGATTGTGTGTATATATATAATTATAGGTGCATTTTGGTTAAGGTCCCTAAACCCTGAGCCCTCCGTGTAATCACTCTCTGCCGTATCTTGTGTGAGCAAGTTGCAGACGGGCCTTTCATGTGTCAAGCATTCCAGCCTTGACACGGTTTAGGGTTTAGGGTGTAGGGTTTAGGGTTTGCAGGTCAGAGAAAGACGTCAAAGCACTCAATGATTTCCGCGTGCCTCTTGACATGGGGCTCAGAGTCGTGGAAGATATTCCAGAGCTCATCATTGGCCTCCTTGACTTGGTCTCTCAGCTTCTCAAAGCCCCGAGCTGTTCCCTAAGTCTCGATTCATAGGATTTGTTCAATGGAAGCCCAATACCCGAGTCCAAAGATGTACATCTCCAGCACTCCTCCGTTTTGTTTCGCACTTCTTGAGAAGATGTTTCAGTTTCCCTTAGACCCTAGACTCTACACCCTCTACCCGCTCCCCGAACAACCCACCTAAGTCCTGTAATATGCCCGAAACCTGCAATTTTTTCAATATTCAGAGGGTGTTTGCCGAGCGCCGAGGTCTACTTTGGTGGAAACAACTGGCAACTTGCGGCAGGTTTACAGTTTACATGTTTACAGGGTGTTTATGCTTTATAGGGCCGTTCGGGCTGATAGGGCTTATAGGGTCTTGTGGGGGCTTACAGAGCTTATAGTTATGTGGCATAGACCTTTAGGGTCTATGTGAGTATTCTCTGGAGGTCGTACTAGTATCACGACGGTTCTAGTACTAGCATTACTACTAGTACTCGTACGAGTACCACCTTGATTTTCCGTTGAGCTGATTGAAATTCCAGCCTTCGGGAAAAGCCAGAAGGAGTTGAAATGGTTAAAATTTTAGCCATTTCAACCATCTCAGCCATTTCAACCATTTCAACCATTTCAACCATTCCAACCATTTCAATCATTGTAAATACGGTGGGCTTCCCCGAGAGCCAACGGAGCAAAGCAATTAACCATTTCAACAATTTCATCCATTGTGAACTCGTTGAAATGGTTGAAATGGTGAACTTGGTTTTCATAGGGGAAAGACGCACAACACCTCATATAGACCCTAAATGACGATTAACAGTTTTTCGTTTTGACAAGACTTCATCGCCAGGGTACCCGTAAACGGTTACGAATGCTTCAGGTAGGCTCTCGATGCACATGCAAGGTACGCGTGGTTCGGACTCTTGATGTCCATGGCGATGCTAGTGTTCGACCTGCTCCTTGGTGTCCTGCTACAATTCCAACAGTGGGCATTGAAGATTGCAGGGATGACGAGGGACACGGAGTGATCTCATGAACCCCCGGAGTTTGCTGAAGCTTGCAGGGACGTTTCCACAATTTGTGGGCCTAAATAATTACCAGCACTATTTTGGGGGTCCCTGATTATAAGATTTATAAGTATAATATACCCAAAACCCTATTCGAATTATTAAGGTCCCTACATTACTTGCAACACCGCGGGAGTTCTGCCCACGGTGGCGTCACACAGTTACCAGGTTTCAAGGGCAAGTATGCTCAGTGTGGAGTTTCTTTTCCACGGGCTTCTTGATGTCCGTTTATCCTTTGCATCTCTGGGCCTTGTTGGGGGGCCTGGCGGCAGAGTCTTTTTGCCCGAACCTCCCGCAGCTGGTGTGACAGAATTCTGGTGTAGAGTCGCCGTGGGCCTAAATAATTAGGGGTCTCTGATTATACTTATACTATACCCAACACCCTATTCGAATTATTGAGGTCCCTACATTACTTGCAACACCGCGGGAGTTCTGCCCACGGTGGCGTCACACAGTTACCCGGTTTCAAGGGCCAGTATCCTTAGTTCCGGAGTTTCTTTTCCACGGGCTTCTGCGAGCCAAACGCTTGAACTGAACAGTCCGCTTATCCTCTGCATCTCTGGGCCCGGTTGGGGGCCTGGAGGCAGAGCCTTTTTGCCTGAAGCTCCAGCAGCTGGTGTGGCAAAATTCTGGTGTAGAGTCGCATACATCTCGTGAGTTGGATCTCAAAGACAGTCACAGTCACACTTTCTGGCTCCAATCCGGGTCTGGCCCACGAATTCAGAATGTAAGTGACGTCACATTCATTTGGAGAGACGGGTGTCGAAGACATTCGCTTTCGTACTTTTGCATCTCTGGGATTTCTTGGGGGCCTGACCAAAGCCCTTAACCCTAAACCCTAAACCTCCTAAGCCCTATACGTCCTAAACCCTAAGCCTTTCTTGGGGGCCTGGCCAAAGAAACGTCCTTGTCGCCTGCCTGGGCCGTGCGGGAACAGCCGCAGCGCGCTGCGGTGCCGGGGCTTTAACAATAGTATTGGAAATAGCCTTAATATTATTGACAATAATAGTCATAATACTACATTCAAATAATATCAATATTCATAGCAATAATTATCATCATAATCATATCAATAATAGTAACAATAAAAACATGTTTTTTTTTGCTTTTGCCCTCGGCGCCGCAACCTGCCTGGGGCCTTCGGCTCTGGGGTGGGAATTTTCGTCCCACGTGCCTTTAGGGATACGGTTCCCAGAGAGCCCCTTAGGGTTTAGGGTTAGGGTTTAGGGATATACCTTAAATTATAGGGGCCTTCCTTAATTAAGGGGTATTGGGTTCTCTGGATTTTCCCACCTCAGCCAGCCACAACAAGACCAGAGACCGCTCAGATGTATAGAAATGCTGAATGACCTCGGGGACCGAATCACCCTTAACCCCTGGATTATGAATCCATCTATGGTATATAAGCCTTAAACCCGTTTAGGGTCCATGTCGTCCTTAAGGGAGCGCTTGCAACATCACCGAGTTGCCAACATTCCCGTTCTGGTAGCCCTTTCAGTGAATACTCTTTATAGTAATCAGCCAGCCCATGTAGTAACCCTTTTAGTACTGGAGTTAGGGTTTAGGGTTGCTCTCATCTGTCGGCCTTTGTAACCATCTGGGGCTGCAGCCAGTTCCTTCATGTGGGTTTAACCAGTCTTTATGCTCGGGATCCTTTAAGGTAACCCCAGAAAGGAACCACAATGGAGACGAAAGGCAACTTTCAGGCGTGGGTCTCGGGTTTTGGGCTTCCGGGCAGACTTCGTGGGGAAACGACTCACCGATCAGTTAGAGAGACGGGTGGGGTAGAGAAAGCTGGATGCCGGACCCTCTGTGCCGAATATAGAAGCTCCAGCGAAATTTCCTCCTTGTTTTCACTACATTACAACCCCACCCAAGATCCTGCTTTGATTATGTGGGCTCCTATGCTGACGTCTTCAACGTCCTTACTTACGCTGAGTAGGTTCGTTTTCTGGCACCCCTTCGTAAATTTTACTCTCTGGTTCTTAGTAGGGAATGTGGGAATGGATCCCTATGATAGTCCCTGAAGGTCCCCTTTAGTAGTCCCAATAACCCATTCCCTCATTCCCTAAAAACCAGAGAGTTTAGGCAACGGCTCGCGGTGGCGTCGGAAAATATCACCATCCGACGGGTGGCGGTCCGACACACCAGGCCTCAGGGAACTCTTTGGGTTCCGGGGTGGGGGTTTAGCCCGGTTTAGGGTTTAGGGCTTATAGGCTTTGGGTTTAGGGTTTAGGGCTTCGGGCTTAGGGTTTATAGGGCTTTGGGTTTAGGGTTTACCCTAAACCCTAAACCCTGAGCATGTTTCGGGTTTGGGATCTATGGCTGCAGGGTGGAGTTCTCTGTGTCAAAGGGTTCCTGAAGACTGTGATTTGAGGGTTCAGGGACGCAGGGCTTGGTGGCTTAGGGTTTACCTGGACCCGAAATAGCTTACCTTTCTAGGGACTTACATAAGGATATCATAGTAAGGAGCCCTAAAAGGTAGGTTCTTTAGGTTCCAGGCAGGGTGCAATTAGGGTTTAGGGTTTAGGGCTATAGGTCCAGGGGATGCAGGGTCTTGGTGGTTTTGAGCTAGAGGCTTCTTGTAGTTCGGAGATACCTTTTCTGTGGGATCTTGGGATTCTTGTGCTTCAGCGTTCGGTGCAGGGTCCATGTTGAACTACTCTACAAACTACTTTGTCAGAAGAGCAGGGGTTGGGGGTTTGAAGTTTGGGGTTTAGGGTGGTGGCATTGGGCAGTAGGCTTGTTCACGATTGCAGGCCTAGTGTTCCCATATTCACAGAATGACTGGAGAACAGATACCCTGGCCTGCAATCAATGGCTCAGGTTCGGTGCAGTCACGTTGGAAGTGTAGGTTTACCTTACAACCATCCCAAACCTTAAACCCTACACCCTACACCCCAAACCCAAATCGTAAGGTTTTTCCTCCAGCTCCATATCCTTAAAAGCTGTTCATACATACCACCAACAGCACCTCCCTTCTGAGGTGGGTTTCTTCCCGAATTCCCCAGCCCAACATGCTCTTGGCCGTAACCCCAAACCCTAAACCCTGAAGCCTACAACCTCCAACCTCAACCCCTAAACCCCTAAAGCCCGGAACCCCCAACATCAAAGCCGTAAAAGCGTGAAAAGCCCCAACACCGGACAGACCTGCTGCCAGGGGCTGCAACGCTGCAGCTTTCACCATTGGCTCGGAAATGTCCGGAGGGGCCGCTCCCTTAGTACTATAGGGGCCATCAAAATTAATTCCCCCCTCCTATTTTGGGGGTTCGTCCATAGGCTCCATAGTAGTTCCTTTTTGTGGTCATATTCAGGATCCTACAAGGCAATCACCAAAAAAGGAACTACTGTGGAGCCTATGGGTAGCCAAGAGATGCTAGGATTTAGGGTTTAGGGCTGGGCATCAATATCTCAAAACCCTGCACAAAACCCTCACGCTAAACCGCCATCTCTTGTTTGATCGGGCTGACCTCCCCTGCGCGGCCATGTCTGCGCGTGGAAAAGATCGTTGCTTTCGCATGCATATACATTGGGAGGTGACAGTGTCGACTCGTTAATCTTTTTTCACTTCCGCACCTCTGAAAGGATCACATGATTGTAGTAGTTAGTAGAGTCCTGCTCCTGTCTTGCGATTTCTGATGTCTAGTATCCCGAGATTTAAGAAGCCATCACATTATCGCTTTCGTTCCCAGCCAGGATGCAGTTTGATGTGCACATCCAGTAGCGGCAACAAAGGAGTTGGATGAAAAGAACAGCGGCCTAACTGTCGTGTTTTTTTGGTCGTCAAGGAAGGATTGTGGCTCTCGGGGGTTCCCGAAACCCTAAACCCTAAACCCTAAGCCCTAAACCCTAAACCCTAAGCCCTAAATCCTAAACCCCTAAACCCTAAACCCCAAACCCTTACAGCTGTAAAATGCATCGTGCGTATGTGTGCATCAGGAGCCGGAGAGAAGAGGCTGGGTTTGGTAGTTACGGGTTTGGTGGGTTTAGGGGTTTAGGAGTTTAGGGTTTGCGGATTATGGCTTTAAGGCTTAGGAGTTTAGGGGTTCGGGGGTTTGGGGTTTGAGGGTTTACGGTTTAGGGGTTTAGGATGCAGAGGGTTTAGGGTTTGATTATGGGGTTTATACGGTTTAGGGTTTATAGGACTTAGGGTTTATAGCGTTTAGGCTGGGAATGCAGGGTTTCAGGAAAGCCTTAGTGTCTCCTTCTTCCTGATGCTCCCGGTGGCTTTCTCGAGATAGCTCACAGCTGATCCCTCTTTCGGACAATGTTAGTTCTATGGGGGCATTACTTGTCACTGCTCATGTGGCAAGCCCCCCAGCAACACCAGAAAACACGCAGGGTTTAGGAAAGCCAGATACACACGGCAGGCCTTAAGCCCTAAACCCTAAACCGTAAATCCCTAAACCCTAAACCCTGAACCTTAAACCCTATAAGCCCTAAACCAGATGCGATGCCGCAGCGTTTGGCTTCCAGAGGATTCAGAACACCTGTGACATATGAGGCGCTGACCTATCCAACCTCAAACTAGGGTTTAGTGTTTAGGGTTTAAGTTAATGCCGATCTATAGGGGTCTGAATAGTTATAAGAAGGAGCACTGTGGAATAATCTTCTGAGCCGTCAACCCAGTCCCTTACCCTACTTTTACCCCCTTGAACCCGCAAGCCTTGGGGGACCCGAAGCCCAAACCCTGAGGGTATAGGGTTCACCCATACTCCATCGCTTGCTGGCCGGGATCCACGCAAGCCTTCATGGCTGATCGCTCGGCGCTCAGTCTTCGGCTTCTGTGAGGGCGACTGCTGAGACTGACTCTCTTTGAGGGCTTTTGGGCTCTTGGGTTTAGGGTTTACAGGGTTTAGGGGTATATTGGGTTCATAGGATTACAGAAAGGGCTACGGTGGGGCCT